GCAAGGTGTACATCCGTATCCAGTGCGTCTTGGATTCTCTTGCAAGGGGCGCCGCACGGCCGAGGCGCATTGGATATGGACATATCAAAGCGAGCCTCTAGGGGCCAGAGTTTTGTCCATACCTGTACGACCACCCTGCGGGTGATAAGGAAGTTTGGGGGGGGAGGCGCCCAGCAATGGGCAACAGTGGCGATTGCTGTTCTGACGATGCCAGTGGAGATTGTTGCGTTGCCGCTCGCTCTTGGGAGCTTTGGTGTCGAGTTGTTTACGTCACCCTTCGCTATCGGGCGCCTTTGTACTATCCCCTTCCCCCAGGAACCTGCCCAACGGCGGCGAACGACGACGGCGTTTTTTTGTTTGAGGCCTCCTGAGGCCCCGCTCGTCGCCACGGCTTAAATCGTCTCGAAATATTGCTCAACGGCGGACCCTGGGCGGTCGAGAATGACGCACCGCCATCGAAACTCTTTTTTCATGGCTCTTTCGAGCTCGCGCCGACATCCGAGGACACCGCTAGCCGGAACAGGGTAAACGGCTAGAAAGCCGGCGAAAGCGCGCCTCATTATCGATCTCACTATCGATCTCACTATCGATCTCACTATCGATCTCACGATTGATCTCCTTATCGCTCTCACGAAGGGACACCGACGGGACACCGCAGGACACCGACGGGATACCGACGGGACATCGGCGGGACAGCGGCGGGACACCGCGTGGCCCCGAACGCCGGGTCGCCAAACATTTGGTCCGGCCGCGCCTCAGCCACAGGAGACTTTCCTCTCGCCCGCCCACGCAGCTTCGCCTCGCCCGCACGCACGGCACGCACGAACACAAAACCGAAATCGATTTCCCGGTAGGGGGGCTCTCCGGTCCACTTCGATCTCACCCCCCAATCTCCGATCCATCGCGCCTGGGGCTTCTGAGGAAGAGCGCCGGGAACTCAAAGCGGCAGCGGCTATGGACAGAGGTATTGCCCGCAGTCCTCTTCTTCCTCCTTTTCGTCCTCGTCTTTTTCACCCTCGCCCTCGGAAGAAAACGGCGATAAGGAGAAAGGGGATGAGGAGAAGGGGGGGGGGGAGGGGGATGGGGAGGAGGACAAGCTAGGTGCGCTCGCGTCATATCTGACCTCCTACCCTTCCCTCCCATCCTTTACCATGGCGCTGATTTTCTCTATCCGCGGACGCGTGTCGTAGCGGACCTGTGGCTCCGCGCGCGCGTGCGTAGTGGGTGGTGGTGCACGTGCGTGCGTGCGTGCGTGTGTGCGTGGTTGTGGTGGTGGTGGTGGTGGTGGGTGGTGGTGGTGGTGGTGGTGGTGGTGGTGGTGGTGGGTGTGTGGTGGTGCTGGTGGTGGTGGTGGTGGTGGTGGTGGTGGTACTGGTGCTGGTGCTGGTGGTGGTTGTGGTGGTGGTGGTGGTGGTGGTGGTGGTGGTGGCGGTGCGGCGCGGTGGTGGCGGGCGGATGGGCGCGCGAGAAAAGGCCCGCGCTGGGGCGAGAACGCCATCCTGAACGACGGAGGCCAAACACCGATCCGAAAATGAGGCCCACGCTGCAGCGGGAGCACGATTCGGAACGATTCGGGAGCAGAAATGAGGCCGGCGCCTCAACGAGAGCAGCATTTTGGGAAAAAATGACGCCGGCGCCTCAGCGAGAGTCGTTTCCCGGGATTTCCCGGGCATCCTGTGTGTAAAAAAACGGTACGCGGAGGGTGCGCGGCCATCACCCGGACGCCATCAGGGGAAGAGGGAGAGTATTTTCATATTGAGCAATTGTGGAGGAGGAGGAGGAG